ACCCCGATCGCAAACACGGGGGGGGGGGGGGGGGGGGGGTATTCATCATCGAAAAAACAATTTCCCCGACCAGGACACCTCCCAACCCTGAAGGTGTGAGATGGGATCTAGAAGTAAGTACGTATACCCACCGAAAAAAACGAAATGGTATGCAGTATCCTGTTGAAAGAATCTGTGTAGGTTATCGATCGAGTATCTGTTTTCCAGGTGACGTCATGAGTGTTTTCGAAGAACCTGAGCTCTGCCCTAGACAGCAGTCAGTACCTACCCCCCCATGCCTTCCAGGGACCTATTCTATATATTTCCTTCTTTGTAGCGAACCAGGCAAGCATGCTTCCTCTTCCACACAGGCTTTTGAGGTGTCGGGGTAGCATACACGCGTTTCCCTTTTCCCACCGTAGCAGCAGCAGTCTTGCAGCAACGTTCGCAACAAGAGCATTTTCCCTTTCCCTATTGGATGAGCCTCTCTCTCAGCCCCTGCTGATTGATGTGTGCCCGAACGTGGGCGTTGAAGCCCATTGGCTGAGCCTCTCTCGCTCTCATGGATATGAGCACGAACCTGGTCGTCGACACACCACACTTACAGCACTTCCCATCAACTGTGCGCACCGACAACAGTACCCACTGACAGACTTGGTGAAGAACGAGTCACCCGACGGAAGGGAGAAGGGCGTGGCGGTCATCGTCAGCATCAACAAGCTGCGCAATGACGCCTGGAAACTACCCGAGGATATTCTCGACAAAGCTGAGCTTCAGGTGTGTGTGTGTGTGTGTGTGTGTGTGTGTGTGTGTGCGTGTGTTTTCGTTCTATTTATTTTGGCGACAGTCCTCCCATTTTCCGTGGTGAGACGTGTATGTAGAAGACTACACTTTTCGATGTATTTTGTCGTATAATCACAACCGTTCAGGGTCACACAGATGACGGATTGTTTTCCCCTTCCACATAATGGCGTGCCCCGGTCGGTGTCGCTTCTGGTTGATAAGCTGCTGGACGGTCAAGTGCTGTAGCATTTCGTGTATGTGTGTGGGGTAAGTTTTGTCCGCGAGGAGGCCTGCTTGTGTTCGCTCATGCGAAACATACGCTGAAGAAGTTTGTTGGGTTTTGTCGTCAGTCGCCCACGTGTATGTGGCGACGTTTTTCGTGCGGCATAGACTTGTGTACTGGTGTGAGGTATGATACTGCCGCTACCTTTCAGTGGATAAGCGAGTGTAGGATGCGTTTTCCGGACACCGAAGTGCGCGCTGCTTTTTTCGTCCCAAGGCGTTCTTGGTCTGCTTACCCTCCGCAAAATAGATCTTCATTTCCTCTGCTCAGCTGACAAGCGGTTCAGCTGACAAATCTGTGTGTATCCATTGTCTCCGCATTCACGAATACCAAACGCTTTTCATTTCACCCACAGCATAAAAACTAGAAACTGTCGACAGCACCTGGCGGGTTTCGTTTATGACGTACTGTTTCGGGCCCATGTCTACCGATCCATGTCAATGGCAGGTTCTTTGCCCCGATCTTGACAGCGAGGAGGAGGGAGTGTGGATGGCCGATGAGCTAGAAACATGTGCCTTCGCCAAGCTCGGAGAGATGAAAGTGGCAAGTGTCCTTTGTAATAGACCATATCACATGTGCTGTAATGCATCTATCACGCTGGTGTAGGGTAGCAGCTTGGACGAGAGCAGCGCAAGTATCGCTGGCAAGGAGGGCCTATCCTCGTTTCCTCTGACACGCCTATTTCGATCGGCAGCATACGTACATTGACGAAAGGCAGGATGATCGTTGCACAACCCGTTTTAGGACGAGCCAGTCGTGTTAGTTAAACGACACATCCTCCCCTCATCATCTTGGGCGGCGGGATTGTGATTATTGAATCTCCGAGCGTAAGCGGGCTTTCTACGGTCATGGGTACGGGTTGAGGGGAACAAATGCGGCTTACCCGGTCTTGGAGGGGATTGACTGTTGTCACCGGACATCAAGCACGGCCTGCGGACTCGTGCGCCTGGTATTTATGACGAGTCACGTTGCCGTTCAGACCTTTAATGAGTTCTGTGCCGTTTGGTACCAGCATTCGAGTTTCCACTATAAATAGGCTGCGATTCAAGGATCGAAAGGTCGGCTTCCTGGTACTTGTGGTGTGCCCGTGCTAAGCGTCGCTGCCCGTGCTAAGCGTCGCATGTACACACGTCGTGCTCCCGCTCTCCCGCGTTCGCTCTTGTCGGTAATCCAGCTCAAGTCATCCTTCAACGGTGCGATGGACAAGTGGAAGCGGTGGACGATTTCCGACGAACTCAGCGAGGGCTGTGGCGCGAGGGACGCGGAGTGGGAGTACGACATGCTCTAGTCTAGCGCTGCTAAACGGGCAGCAGCACCACTTTGTACACCATCGTGGGGTTGTAGGTTGTGTTTTTGGGTCGAGGGAAACCATTCATGTTTACCGGAGTTTTCCAGTTTTCATGATGTGCACGGCAGAAGGTATTCTACGACTGCAAACAGTGGATTATTGTGGCTGCAGCAGGAATGAAGGCGCCAAGCGGGTACCCGTGGGCTTAACGTCCCCGCGAGATTGCCTAAATCAAGGAGAATTCGTTGACGTTGCTTCAGGAGCTTTTGGGAAGAAAGAGTTGTGTCATACTCCACTTGCAGAACTGTTGTTTTTGTTTATTTTTCATGGAAGCAGAAAATAAATCCCCTAGACGGGACTGAGAAAAACGGTCGCGCCAGGTCATTTGCACGAGCAGGTTGGGGGACCGCCTCTTATCGAGAAATCTACCCACACGTAGCGAGATAAGTTTCTGTTGGTCGCAATAGAAGGGAAATTGAAGCCCCTTTTCAAAAACTCAGAACAACCCGATGGAGCATGCTTGCCGCCCAGCACAAAGGTAGTGTTGGGCATCCTGCTGGCTTGCTCCTATTGATGCTTCAACGACAGACGGTCTACGGTGTAGCGTAAGTAGAGTAGTGATGCCACATTGAAGTCGTATGAAAACAGGGTATGGGGGGTTTGTAAGGGAACGAACAGCTTGTGTGTGACATGCACGGGATCATTGAACATGCAATCGGTAGTGGGTGTCAGCTTATAGCAGTACATACGCGGTTGAAAAATAGCTCAGTTGGACACACCAAACCTGTAGACACATTGTCCAGAAAACTTGCCATCACGACCTCCCCCCCCCCCCCCC